AAACAATTTAGCTTTGACTCACACGGTTGCGACGCTCACTATAAGCAGTACGCAAGTATTTTATTATTAATTATCATTAATGTTACTGTTTGATAATCTTTTTCACTTGTTAGATGTCTTATAATAAGCTCGTAACTATATTATTAGTATGACTAACTCACTTTATCATCAACCCAAACTCAACAATGTAAAATATGGCGTATAAATTCAGGTTGAAAAAGTCAAGTCCACCGTTTATATTTGATTTTTGAAGCAACCATTTCATATATGATTGATTAGCAATACAACACTCTACCCATCACCAAGTATATAATTCATACCAAACTAGTTAATAATTAATATCAAGTTATCAAATCACATTCCTGGTTTAATGCCTGGGATTACTCTTCTGAATATGATAGACTTGTCTGCACTTGTTATGTTTTTACTTTGTCTCTTTCAGGTTGGCTATAAATTATACTATTCCATAAAATATAGTATTCAAATTCAATTTATATTAAAATTTGGATAAATTACACATAACTACCTCAAATATTAGGTCATTAACAATTTCATACCTCATCTTTAAAAAGTTTCAATGTCATACCGTATCTTTGAATTTGTTGTAATATCATACATTTAGTCAATTGTCTGTCAATTCATCTGCTAAATGCTGACGTGACACACTTTCTATTAAGAAACTAAAAAAATATTATTAAAAACTAAAAAAAAATCATTTAATATTTTTTAAATATTAAAATAATAATTAATTAAAGAAAAGTTTTTTATAAAAAATAAACCCCAAGTTCGTCTCCCCCCCCCCAACCTGCTGCAACCCAAAAAGAAAGAAGAAGAAAGAAAAAAAAAACATCTTCATCTTTCCCGACCCCACCTTCCTTGCAACCCACCCCTTTCTTCCCCCTCCTGTCTTCCCCTTCCCTCCTCCTCCACACCCACCCTCACACCCACCCTCTACACCCCACCCTCTTCCCTCTTCTACACCCCCACTCCTTTAATCCACACACTTTCCCCCCATTTTCTCCGTGCCCAATTTCTCCACCTGAGGAATCAGAGGAAGACGGGAAGGGGGGTCGGAGAAGATGAGGATTTTTTTTTTTTTTTAAATTTTTATCTGGGTTCCAGGTAGTGGGTGCGATGGTGGGTGTGGAGGAAAAGGGAAGGGGAAGACGGGAGGAGGAAGAAAGGGGTGCGTGGCAGGGAAGGTGGGGTCGAGGAAGATGAAGATGGATTTATTATTATTATTATTATTATTATTATTATTATTATTATTTTATCTTCTTCTTCTTTCTTTCTAGGTTGTAGTGAGTGGGGAGGGGGGAACACGAACTTGGGGTTTTTTTTTTTTTAATATATAAATAACTTTTCTTTAATTAATTATTATTTTAATATTTAAAAATATTAAATGATTTTTTTTTAGTTTTTAATAATATTTTTTTAGTTTTTTAATAGAAAGTGTGCCACGTCAGCATTTAACAGAGGAATTGACAGACAACTGATGGAAGGTATGACATTGCAACAAATTCGAAGATATGGTATGACATTGAAACTTTTTAAAGACGAGGTATGAAATCGTTAATGACCCAATAATTGAGGTAGTTCTGTGTAATTTACCCTTAAAATTTCAAATATCATCAACATTTTAAGATTCTAGAAACATTGCATTTTTCTTTGTAACTTTTCTACAATTCACCGGAGTGTTGCTCTCTAGTAGTAGAAATATTTGGAAAGAAGGGGGAATGCAACCTAGACAAGGAAGTTTCTCCTTCCTCACGTTATTATTTACCTAAAATTTTGTGGTTTTCAAACTTTTATATAATAATTTTTGTTTGTCTCATAAATAAAGTGAAATTTTTGTGACACTTTTATACATCTGTTAAGCTTTCCGTCAGAATTACAGATAACCTGTGACGTGGCACCCATGTTGACAATAACTGGGTGCCACGTGTCAATTTGGCCCATGTGGAAATTTAAAATTTTAAAAATTTAGATGCAAAACCCATCCACGTAGGTTCAAAGATCAACAACCCTAGGGTCATTGACAGACTCGGTCCCCTACCACAACCCAGACCAGCTACCAACCTAGGGAAGGAACAAAAACCCTTAGAGGGATAAGAAGGTATAGGAAACTATGTTGGGGGGGGCTGCTTCCAAGATAAATGTCCTGGCAGCCAGTACGCTGAATTCATGGAAAGGCCATATGTCATTGCCCGAGCTTTCCAACTTCAAAGAGATGATGGAAACTTACGAATGAGGGTTCTAATGGTGCTTGACTCCACTCAGGATCCCTTTATCATGCAACTCCTTGTATAAGTGAACAAACTAAAACTGAGCGTCAGGCCGTGATACCTGACTGGAATATGCCAAGGCCCGACCTTCTGACAAGGAGGATCCTTGGCACCCCTCTACGAGGAGAAACAAAACAGAAGATGAGCCATATACTGGGAGGGAAGATCTAATTGAGCATATTCATCTCTTTGAATCCACCATGGTCTACCAAAGAAACAGTGATGATGGTCGATGACTCATTTTTCCCTCCACTTTCTTAAGTGGAGGTGGAGTTCTCAATTGGTATTGTCGTCTTCAACATGATACAATGGATTCCTTCGCTGAGCTAAGGAGACTTTTCCGTGGCTCAACATATCTTCCACGTTGATCGCTTACAATTTTTTGATGATTTATACACCATTTTTTAAAAGCCAAATGAGTCACTGCATGGGTATGTGGGTCATTTCAGCCATGAGTATTCTCGTTGTGTAGAGACAAATGATAAAACAACTCTTGGGGCCTTCATGGTAAGCATGCATGAATGTCTCTCCAAGTACATAAACAATGCTAACACTTGGAATGAGGTGATGATACAAGCTTACAATCATACATTTGCCGAGGCAAAGACATATCAAGGGAACCCTTACCCTTATCAACAAGTGGGAGTGGAAGTCAAATTCTACCAGGTGAGCAAATTTTGACCATTCAAACACCTATTATATCTTCTCTTGCCCCACTTAGTAGCCCACTAAGTCACCAAACTTATTCATCATTGGCAAGAGGAATGATTTTTACTCTCAATAAGCTCATTACAACAAGAAGGATAAAGGTTTGTATCAAGACAATTAGAGGTGAACATACCATCAACTATTATGACTCTGGGGGTCAAGCCTCACTCTTTCAAAGTAGGGAACAGGGTATTGAAGGAAAGGCTACTCAGTGACAAAGACTCAGATGGCAAAACATTCACTATTATAAATGAGTATGCAGACTGCATATGTTTTGACTTGCAACTGTTCATTGTACTTTGTAACACATCTTTCGACAAATATTTAATGAAATGGTAATTCAGACAACTTCGTCTAACTCTTTTACATTCCTAACACTAGAATGCTTGATCTCACAAGAAAAGTAGCAATATGTACACCATTTTCATCTTCAATTATGTTTGTTGTGTGAGTTTATTTTTTCATATGTATACTCAATAATTATTTTTAATGCATTTGATATTATCTATACTATGGGGTGTGAGAGTGAGCGAAACTTCACAATAGGCTAACCACAGTCATTTGGTTCATATTCGCATTTGGCAAAAATTGAACCTAAGACTTCTACTTATAGATGAAAACGAATATCATTAAATCGTAGTAATAAATGACGCATACACAATAAAATCAATAACTTCGAGAAAAATTCATTACGTTTTTTTTGAAAAAGGACAGTGACCTTGAGATGAAAAAATATGATCATCTGTTTGTCGGAAAAATTGGCCGATCAGAAAACGTGGTAGAATTGAGTTATAATCCTATAATTATTTTAAATTATAGTGTATTCATAAATTGCTTTGGTTGTCTTTTCTATTGGTACTTTTTTGTTAATTGATAATTTAAAACAAAAGATCTTAAAATAAAGTTTTCTGTTCATAATTTAAAAAATTAATAAGGTTTAGATGTTAAAATGGTCCTATGTTTTACCCTTACGACCGATTTGGCTCCTTAGTTAGTCAATGTGCTCATTTTCCATCCAAACATGTTTCAAATTGATAAAAAAAGAAAGAAAAAATTAAGGGAAAAAAATAATAAAAATTCAACAACAACAAAATTGAAACCCTTCCACCTCTACCCTCAATCCCAGCCACCACCATCATCCACCCATCCAAAGCCACCACTATGAGTCACCTTGTAACCACCCATCCTATCTCTTTCATAAAAAAAAATTCACCCCACGGTCTCCCACCTGCCATCAAATTCCGCATTATTTCTCTAGTGAGGTCGATATTCTATTGCTCTCCATCTTTTGCTCTCCTACGCCAGTGTTGACCCCATACATCTCCGCGTCATATCCGCATCCACCATCTTCGTAGCATTGATCTGCATCCCTTCTCCTCCTTTGTGGATCTCCCTTCCCATTGCACGTTCGTGGTTAGAGATGCTGTCTTGAGTTTTAATCTGAATGTTTATGTTATGTTTATTTAAATTTTACATTAAGCTTTTCATATTTCTTAAATAAATAGGGTTTTAAATAAATTTAAAATGAAATATTTAATAGTAAATTAATGAAATTGACTATATTGGCTAACGATTTGAAACTCAATAATCAAATTGGCCAAAATAAAAACGCAGAAACTAAAATTGACCGAACAGATAAAATACACAAACCATTTTTAACATTTAAGCCAATTAACAAACACTTTGTCATTGACAAAGCAACAAACAATAACGTAACGAGTAGTTACAGCAAAAGGGAGAACGTCTTTGCGCCAGAACTACATATTTTCGCGGAACCAAAAATTGACGGCTCAGATTCAGTGAACAGAGTCAATCTGAGCCTTCAATCCTCTCCCCATTCCTGTCCCAGATCGGCGCCGTGCAAAACCAGCCGGTCCGTATTTTCACAGACAAAGCATACATTAATATAATTACAAAACCCCACCTTTTACCCGTATTTTCAGTTTTACCCCTACTTTTTTTCTTTTTCTTTTCAACAAAATATATTAATTATTTTGGGCTTCGAGTTCCTCGGCGAGCTCAGCCTAAAAAATACAGCTTTGTTGCTTTCTGCCTAATGGAAGGGTCCTAAGCTCTCTCTCTCTCTCTCTCTCTCTCTTCTTTCTCTGCTTTTACTTTGATGCTTTGTTTGCATTTTCCTTGAGAATTCAGAAAAAGGGTTCGTCGGTCTTCTCTTCCTTGTCTGATCCACACAAGTTCCTCAGGTGCGTGCTACCAATATTCCCATTTTTTATTTTGTTTTCCTGCTAATTAAAAACTTTTGTTTTTACAGTCTTAATTAATATTTGTGTATAATTTAGTATATGATTTTGCAGCTGAGCTTTTTTTTCTTGTTTGAATTCTGGGTCGTTTTGTCCTGAGATCTTGATGCTCTGTATGTTTTGGGTTCGTTCTGAAAGCTCAGTGTTTTGTGATTTCTCTGTAACCTTGCCTCTCTCTCTGGTTTGATTTTTATTTATTTATTTTGGGTTTTTTGTTTTTTCAGTTGCATATTGTTTTGTTCAATATTCGGAATAAATTCCTGGAGCATTTCAGCTTAATTTGCTATACTTTTTTTGGACTTTTATATATCGCAGTGGATCTGTACAATTTTCTTTTTAAAAGTTGTTTTAACATTTTTTTTGCATTTTCTGTTTGGTTTCCTAGAAAATTTAGGGAGATGAGAAAAAGGAGATTATTCTATTTTATTTATTTTTAAATGGTAAAGCTTAAGCTCATGCAAACAAAATGCTAAATACCCAGTTGACCTTTTTCCTTTCCAAGAAAGTATAAATACGGATTCACTTTTCAATTTGTTTTTAATGTGCATTTGGTTTAGTTTCTGATGGAATCACATCATAAAGTAGCAAAATTTCCTATTAAGCTTGTGAGGTTGAAGTTGTGGAGGATACTTGTTGTGTTTGTTACAACCTTTCGTTGCTGGTGAATGTAACTTTTCCATTTTTGTTAGGATTTTCATGTCCTAGTTTCTTCTTGAGATTCTTTCAATTTTGCAACTATCTTAGGCTGTTCATAACGTATTGTGTAATGGTTCGGGTTTGTTTGAATTTACGGAGTTTTTTTATACGAGCGGTATTTGGGGGAGGGAAAATCGAACCTAGGATTTCGGGTGCAAGGACAAATGCTCTTAAGCGCTTGAGCTACAAACCTCTGGCATCTGAACCTTTAGCTTGGACTATGGTGGCTTGTGGTTTGATCTGAAGCCATATAAATATATGTTCTCTGGTACATTGATTATATGGGCAGACCAGTGAGCACTTTCCCAATTTGGGTTTTTTTCCCCTTCATGGATTTGATTGTATTTCGACTAATCTACATTTCCCAAATGGATCCTGTCAAATATTTCTATTCTTTCTTTAGATTATTCATATATATATCCTTTTGAGTTTCATTTCTCACCGGAAACTATTCTAGGAGAAGCTTGAATCTGTTCCATTGGGATATTGATCTGTCTTGGTTTAATATGGTTTACATGTTACCGGTTTCTGTATAGCCACTGTTTGTTTTATCAGATAGTTTTGTGACTTTTGTCTTTTGAAAACCCCTTTAGTCATGCTCACAATTATTTTGATGGGAAAATGATGATGAGAAAATTCATGATTCTCTGTTCGTAAAATTTTCTAGGACTCTATTTATACTTGATGTGAATTTAATTTCCATTAGATGAGACAGTTAAACCTTAAACTAATGAAGCTTTCTCCATCTTGTGCTGTTGGGATTTTCATGTTTTGGTTTCGCTGGTAGTTTTACAATCAATGAATCTGATAATTTGGTTCATATTGTTTCCCTTTTGCAGTAGTGTAGTTGCTAATGTCTCCACCACTATTGGGTGGTGAGGAGGAAGGGCAGAGCAATGGGTCTATGGTAGCTTTTTCACGCTCTATGGACTGTATCTCTCATAACGGTTCTGGACTGAAAGAACGTAACTACCTAGGATTGTCAGATTGTTCTTCAGTCGACAGCTCCACGGTCTCGAACTTGTCAGAGGGGACGAAGAACAATCTGAACTTTAAGGCTACGGAGTTGAGGCTTGGTCTTCCTGGATCCCAATCACCAGAACGGGAACCTGATCTTTGCTTGTTGAACTCGGGGAAACTTGACGAGAAGCCACTGTTTCCTTTGCTTCCTTCAAAAGATGGAATCTGCTCCTCATCACAGAAGAATGGCAACAAAAGGGGCTTTGCTGACACTATGGATGGATTCTCAGAGGTGAAAAGTAATGCATATACTGAAGGAAATTGGATGTTTCATGCAGCTGGCTCTGATTCTGAATCTCCAGAATCTGTTGGACAGGGGAAGTTTCCCGTGAATTCAATCAATGTAATGCTATCATCCAGGCCTTCTGGGAGTCAGCCAACCATAACAAAAGAAGCACGCACTAAACAAGAACAATCTAATGCTACAAACGGAGGCAGCCATAACCCTTTGGGTGCTTCTAACAATGGAAGTGCCCCAGCTGCTAAGTAAGTTAGAATTTTAGATGGACGACTTTGAAGCTTTATATGAAATCTGTGGTTTGTTCGTAATTGTATCTACTTTTGGTTGGCAGGGCACAAGTTGTTGGATGGCCGCCAATTAGATCATTTAGGAAGAATTCTCTAGCCACTACGTCAAAGAACAATGATGAAGTGAATGGAAAACCTGGTCCCGGTGGACTTTTTGTCAAGGTCAGCATGGATGGGGCTCCCTACCTGAGGAAGGTAGACCTGAGAACCTACTCTACATATCAAGATCTGTCTTCTGCTCTGGAAAAGATGTTCAGCTGTTTTACCATAGGTGAATTACTACTCTACTTTATTTAATATTGATATCATGTCTTCACATATAGAAAAACATTCCATTTCTGCATGGACCCAATTTCCACACTTTTCTATTGTGATTTCAGGGCAATACGGGTCCCATGGAGCTCCGGGGAGGGAAAGACTGAGTGAGAGTAAGCTGAGAGATCTTCTTCACGGATCAGAATATGTGCTTACATATGAGGATAAGGATGGTGACTGGATGCTTGTTGGGGATGTCCCATGGGAGTAAGTTCTAATATTCCTGTATTTTTCTGACTGGTTTCCACAGGGAGAATTTTTTAAACTGTTATAGTGGAGAAACATTGTTTCATTATTTCCCAGAGTTGAAGCCTTTTGTTTGTACAACATATATTTTGAAGTTAAATGACCTTATCGCACAAACTACTGTAAAAGTTTGATGTATCGCGGTACAATTTACATGTATGGGTTATAAGCGGGGAATATTAGGATTCCCCCATCAATGAGAGGGAGGACTTCCCTTATGGAGGGTGATGCTTAATTTTCTTTTTAATGAACCGTTAAAAAAAAAAAAAAAAAAAAAATTAAATAAAAACAAATTATGAGAAGGGTGAGGGTTTTATTAATGAAATGCTTCATTACTCCATTGTCAGGAGGGCGATACTGTATTGTAAACTTGCAAGAAACTAGGGATCTTAATCGTCTGAGGGACTCGATAGTCTGGAATCTAAATTAATCTACATGTAGTCCTTAATCTCCAATTCATCGACTAAAGCTTATGTTGACAGGAACAACAAAATTTGTGAAAGCATACATGAATCTTGTTTACATAACATATAAAGTTTTGAGGCCCAGTTGAACCCTTGCATAAACTATTTAATTTACACTTTATTTCCACATTTATTTTTAGTATTTCTTCTAAAATAAAGTACAAAAAGATAATAACTTGTAGAATTAAAATTAAAGTATTTCAATTGCTAAACTGACTCATAAACTTTTGAAAATGTGATAGCCTTGTTCAGGAATTAAGTTCTTCTGTTCTTTTCTATTTATAGAACTTTTATGAAAGCAATATTTTCAATAGTTTTCAGTATTAAGAACATATCATGAGTTTGCTCTTGAGCTGAAAGAGGAAGAGTAAAAAGTGAAACAACAAAAGTAGTTCACTATAACGTTGGATATTCTAAATCCTATGGTCCATGATGCTCATCTTGTATATTCGGTTTTTTTACAGGATGTTTATTGACACATGCAAGAGGTTGAAGATAATGAAGGGCTCCGATGCCATTGGTTTAGGTTTGTCTTTCTACTTTAGCGATCTACTCGACTACTCTTAATTTGTACTGATTGTGTTTAACAATAATCTTATGATTTGTTTCCAATATCAGTTCCACGAGAATGTTTACGTCAGATGGATATTTGGGAAAATAAACACTTATAAAAGATAAATTGGGAGATTTTTGAGGCACTGAACGAAATGGGTGAATTTTGTAGACAAGTGAGTTTCCTATTTACTTCATTAGGTGTGATGGCCGTGCAACGAGTGAATCCCCCTTAATTGACTTGAACTTAAAGCAAATTTATGACAATCTATGTGGCCCCTTGGAGTCCTAATGAAACAATCTAACAAGTAAAGTTGGTATGTTGACATGAGCTATTGTCTAGTACAGCCCATAGCATAAAAACTGCAGTATCTGTGGGAAGTAGAATGATTGAACACGATGGTTTCAGTTTTCATGCTTTGTTGCCATGCACTTCATTTAGCCTTACCAGAAGACGCTTGCATTTTTTTTGTTCTAGTTTTATATGGATCTGCTGTGCATAATTGTAATGTCTTAAAATTCTAGATTACTACTGGTTTCAGCTTATAGTTTTACGAGATAAACGTTTGATCTTTTCACCTTTTGATTTAAATGATGAATTGTACTCTTATCCCATCTTATCCTGTTTGTTTGTTCCATATATAGCTCCTAGGGCCATGGAGAAATCCAAGAACCGGAACTAGCCAGTGGCTGATATCAAAGTGAACATCTGAGCTGTGGGGAAAGAGGAGTGAGCTGCAAAAGTCGGAACTTGGAAGGAAGAACGCTGGCTGGATGGTAGCATCACGTCGAGTAACTTGTTGATGTTTTGATGTTTGAGTTGGGTCGTGTCGAGTCTGTTATTATAAAACATCTTAAAACTGGTTAAGACTGTTAGTAATTTGTGGAGTTTATTAATGTTATAGCCAATTTAGTTGAAGTTGTTTAATTTGATGAATTTGTGATGCTGATAATTCTTCGTTGCATATCCACCCCTTTTTTCAGTAAGGATAATTAGTTCTGTTCTTCATTCATTCGGGCTGCGACATAGCTGCGCTTTCGACATTGTGCGGCCCGACCCAGTAAACTCAGATTTACATATAAAACGTGGTCAAATGTCATGCATAAATATTTATGTTCAAACATCACGTGTTTCAAGTTTTCATAACGTGCAGAATGGATTAACCACCGACCGACTCCGTCGTGTTGGATTCTCTTCCTCTCTGTGCCTTGACTACCGCCCCATGTGGTGGCCTGTTATATAAAATTGGTGGACGACATTGTTCAAGGTGATCATGTTTTGTTTTTGCCACTATTAACTTTTAGTAACTTAATTAGTTTCTTAAACAGTTTTTAATCCCCGATTCGTCCGTCAAATGTGAAATTCGACAGAACTTGTTTGTCCCTTGGATCAGAAGGATTATCTGACATAATTTTGCACTCAGAAATTTGTTATTTTTTTATGATGTTTTTCTCTGTCCTTTTCTCTTGCATTTCTTTTGGGCCGGTGGGATTTAGGGCTAATTTGGTATTCTCATGTAATTTAAGAAAACCTACTCTTGATGCCTTGTAAGAATAATAGGTTTAGAATAAAGTTGATGAGTATTTGGTAAACTCGAGTTATAACGCTTGTAGCAAAAAATACGATGTTTGAGCACTGTTCACTCATGGTTTGGGATAAAAAGTTAATTTTTGAAAGCAGCTATATAGCTGCTTCCATTTTTCGCTCTCTCTCACCATAATTTTTCAATTAGTGGGCCTTTACTTTGTTACCAAATATAATTTTGAGCTCAACTTTTTTTTTTTTATTTCTTTTCGCTCTTGCTTTTTTAAAAAAGAGTGGCCACCAGTCACGTGCAAAATGGAGATGCAGCAAATGAGGCAGCCATAATCCTTATTGGAATGAATCGATTTGGAGCAATCTGTCTGTTTATTTGAGCAATCTCCCCTCGTGCTTCTCTCTCTTCCTCTCCCTCCTAGTTCTCTCTTTTCGTCCCCTGTGCTTTTGTCTTCCTCCCCCTCCCATTTCTCTCTTTTTGCAAAGGAGATGCCACCAAGCAGGTGTCAAAGGTTTGGGTTTTTGATTGGGTGGGTGGAGGTATTTCTGTGGCTAGGGTAATGCAGGTGCGGTGTTGCAATTAAGGAAGGATGACGGGTGTTTTAGAAAATGTATTAATATAATTCTTTGAAAAAAAAATTAAATGTTATTTTAGGAATAATGGTGGGTGGAGAAATAACATTTTAATTTTTTAATTTTAATGGTAGGTGGGATATAATGTGGGTGTAAAAATAGGATAATGGGGTAGGTCTATAAGCACTCTAAAAAAAATATAAGCAGTACCAAATTGACAATAAGAAAAATATTTTTGAACTCGATTCTTTAAAATGGTAACAATTTTCACACTCGTGTTTTTTGCTTCTACAATTCTCCCCTTGTTCCTTGATTCTTCTATAATTTATTCATCTAAAAGCTTGAAAAGAAAAGAGTAGTGCTAGGTGCAAAAAGAGTGCGAAATTCATTTTCTTTGGTTGGTTTTCTGAGGGGACTTGAACTTCATATTTGAAATTATAGGATGATTTTCATGTACTCAAGAAAAATATATTGTGGCAAAGACAAACCCATTGTTCAAAATTCACTTAAATCAAAATGGTATCGTATATTAAGGTCCCATTACAATAGTATGTACCAATTAGATAATACGAATTTTATACAAAATTTAATCGTTGCAAAGATTCATTAGACTTTACGTACTATTAAAAAAATTGCATATATTGAAGCCAAAAGTAGAGTTTGCGCTTGTGGACCGCTTTGTCAATTTTTTTATGATTCAGGTGAATCTATAAGATCCAGTAACTAAGGTAAAGCGCATATTTTCACATGGTTGGATAGATACATTGACTTTTGATGCAGCAAAAGCAAATCCTTCACTTTTCTTTTCTTGTGGCAGAAGATCAATATTTGGTAGATTTGCTAATAAAGTATATAGTATGATCCATCTTCTTAAGTGGAATCAATAATAATGCAAGATTTAATGGGTATATATGTATGTATGTCAACAATTAAAATTAAAAAAACATTTTCTTAAATAAAATAAAAATGCATTATCATAAATTAAGCTTGATTTGTCATTATATGTGATGTGACAATTATCTCAACTTTGATTAATGAACCTTTTGACTTTTTTTTCTTGTGAAATGTTGATCATTTTGGATGGCAAAACTATTAGCCTTGTGATCTTGAATTATTGTGGATTTAAGCCTAATTTAATTTAATTTAATTATTGTGAGGTCAGTGAGTTAGTTAGTGTTAAGCATAATCATAACATTGCATTTTAATAATATAATTTCTAAACTGATATTTTGATTGGAGTTGGATTTGTTAATTTGTAGATTCCATCAATCATCATGTTACTTTTGATTTCAATCATATGAAGTGGGTGGCTTATGATGCTGCTTCTGACTAATCACTTAATTAAGATGAATTTTTTTGTCATTGTCTTCCCATTTTCCATCTATTAAGGAGAGTGGGACTTAATTAGTGTGACAAATTAAGGCAAAGAGAGTTCAACAAGGCTGTGGTATTTGATTTGTAGTACAAGCTTAAAGTAGCACTTCTCTTTCATGGTAACGCTTAAGGATATCCAGTATCTAAGGGTGGTTACAATGAATCTTATTGCATATCAAATCAAATCAAACTAATAATTTGAATTTTGTTAAGTTGACATCAGAAACGTGACATAAAAGATTGCAATTTATATATGATTCCACTCTTATTTGCATCAAACATTTTGCGATAAAACTCAATACTTGTCGAGCTGTGCAAGTTGCTAAATTTGGACAATAATTAGTAATATATCGCTAATATGATTTCAAAATCTTTACTTTAGATTCTCAATTGTGCTTCAGCACCCAAAATCTTCCCAATACATTTTCAATTTGGAATTCTAATATCATAGTTCACCTTTTAATGGATCTCAAAATCTTCCACGTATTTAAAAAAGTCAACTGAAATTGACTTTTGGATTCCTAGCCCTTGCTTGTTTCATTACCCAAAATATTCTTATGCGCATTTTCGATGTGGGAATTGGGTAATAAAAACAATTTATCGTATACTTTATGGTACGTTGATTCATGGTAACAAAAAAAATTGAACAATATCTTCTACTAAACTTGGTGCTTGTTTTGAGGTTCAGAGTTTAACATTAAGAATCTGAATTGAGTTTATTACTGTGTCCAATTTCAAAACAACATAATATCATAAGATAGATTAAAACTAAGCGATTTTTATGGTGTTTCGGAGTATCAGATATTTCGAATTTTTAACTGTTGTTATGAGTTCATTTGAAGTGAAGTAAGATTCATTGTAGTTAATTATGAGTTCATTTAAAGTTGTTCAGTTGGAAATATTCTTGTCTGGCTTTAAAAATGAATTTTATAGGGGGATTTAAAGTATAAGTAAGAGGAAATTGTAGCAATGCTTCCTCTACTAAAATCCATGACCATTGGTTCCTTAACTCCTCAAAATATGCAACGATGGTTATTTTCGCCAACTCCGTCAGAATTTCTGTCAAAACGAGGTATGTTGAAAGAATCACTACTACGATTGGGTTAAAACTAAGAGACCATTACTCCAATTAGGTTAAAGTTGAGGGACAATTTCCCCAATTGAGTTAAAGTTCAGGGACCATTTCTACTATTTTCTCATTTAGTTTCCCATATTTGTCCCTTGATTCAGCCTCATGTGTGTGGCACGTGACTCATTTTGATGAAACTTTTAACGAAATTGACAAAAATGACCACAGCTGCCTATTTTAATGAGTTAAATGACCAATAGTCCTAAACTTTGAGTTGAGGGACCATTCTACAATTTTTAATATAAGTAAATATGAATAATTGCATAAAGTGTGCAATGGAATAGTTTGGGGTCTACAACAAAATTTGATCTTGATTTTGTCTTCAATGTGTAAGAATACATGGATGCTAGTAGTGATTCCCAATGTCTTGTACCGACTATTGAGCAACACAAACCTCAATCTAATTGCATATTGTTGTGTAACGAACAACATGCACCACAAGAAAAGTGAGCACCAACAACCTTAATTAGTAAAATGCTCCATTTTATTAGCTTTTGTTTCCTCGAAAGAAGGGTTTAGGGTGTGGCCTAGGGTTAGGGTTTCTGCAATTGTTTCCGGCGGCGTCTGTTTTCTGCAATACTTTTGAGGAATTCTACTGAGTGAGGGTATTGGAGGGTGTTCTGGGATCTGGTGAGCATGCTGTAGTGTGGGTGTGAGTATGGTGCTTGCGCACGGGGGTTATTTTTTACCGTTACGGCAGCGGACCGTGACCGGGTAGATGTGCTACCTGGGTTCCAATACACCTTGGTTGCAGAAGTGCTTACTTTTAAGGACGTGCATGGCGAAGCTTTCATTGATTGTTTTACATCGCTGTGGTGGGGAAGGGGGTGTATCCATTCGAGACATTGGGCGCCGTAGGTTCATAGACAGGTTTGTTGGATCTAGTGATCTGCAAAGGGTGATGGATGCGGATCAGCCTTGGACCTTTAAGGGTGATCTGGTGATGGTGGCAGATCGAACGGGGACTGCTTTGAACAGATGGGCGCCACTATCCCTTGGTATTTTTTGGGTGCAGATTTATAATGTTCCACCTATAAGTATGACTGATGCGGTTGCGGAGTCTATTGGAAGGCTTATGGGAAGTGTTTGGAATGTAGATACTTTGATAAGTCGCATTGGTAGGTTCTTACGGGTTAAAATCCGTTGTAATGTTTGTGAACCATTAATGAGCGGGACGTTTGTCCACTTCCCAGACGAAGGGAAGGTTTGGGTGGAATTTAAGTATGAGGCTTTGCCAAAGTATTTCCTTATCTGTGGGATTATGGGGCATGTAACTAGGGTTTGTAATGAGGTCCTGGAGGTGGATAGGGCATGTGGTACAAATTTTGGGGACTTGAAGGATAACCTGGTGTACTGCGGTTTGGATGCAGAGACCGATCTTTGAGGTAAACCACTACGATTCAGGTTTCAAAGTGGGGGGTTTGAAGGGAGCCGGCGTAGCTTAAGGAGATGGAAGGAGGCGATGAGTGATGATTAGGATGGATCATGGAGAGGTGCGAGATCTTCATTGGCGGTATGGAGGTGGGGCAGTGGGAATACTGAGGGTGAGGATTCTTTAAGTGGAGGCTATGGTACTGCTAAGGAGGAGAATGATTTATCTCTGGTGCTGATGATTCTTCCCTTGTTGAGATAATTCGACGTCAGAGAGAGGAAGAAGAGAGGGCGAGGAGGGATAGGGAGGTGGCCTACGATGTGGGGTTAATTGGCTCTGGGGGAGTGGTTACGGATGAGGTAGAGAATGTTATCCTTAAGGAGTTTCCTGAAGGGGAGGAATGAGTCAATGGGGTGTGTGTGTTGCAGGAAAATGGCAAGGAATGATTTGAATGTAGAGGTGCTATTAACTAATGCCATAGTCGGGGATATGGAGGACACGGTAGTCGGAATGGAAATGCGGACAGTGGAAGTGGGGCTTGGAGGTCATGAAGTTCTAAATGATGATTCGTTTGACTTGGCTCCCATTATTGAGGCTATCATGAATGAGACAAAAGGGAAAAAACGTTCCTTTCAGGAGGTGGAGTATGTGGAGCCTGTAGCGTGTTTTGAACAAGTAAAAAATCGACCACAAAAGATGTCTTTATTTGAGGCAGAGGAGACCAGCCTTGAGGGGTCTCCCAAGTCCCCATGAAGCTAATTTTGCTGGAACTATCAGGGTATCGGGGGTGAACTGACAGTTGACAATTTGTTGGAGCAGAATAGGCTTACATCGTCAACATAGTGACTTTATTGGAGACAAAAAATCAAAGTAATCGCTATGTTTATTTAAAAATACGGCTTGGGATGAGTTTTATGCACGCTGTGGAGCCAAAAGGAATTGCGGGTGGTATGTGTATTTTTTGGAAGGACTATGATCAAGTGTTGCTTGTTAAGTATGCAGATTTCTTTATTGAGGTAGGAATTTATGATGGAATAAAAACTGAGACGTGGAGGTTATTTGCAGTTTATGCGAGTACTGAAGATAAGAAGAGGAGGGATCAATGGAGGGTGTTGTCTCAACGGCTTGAGGTTGCTAGTGACAAATGTTTGGTTATGGGCGACTTTAAAGATATCCTGGATGATTAGGAGAAGGAAGGGGGAAATTATCGGTCTGTCGCTAGTACAAGGGATTTCAGAGAGTTTATTTCTTGTAATGGGTTGCTTGACTTGGGTTTTGTTGGTTATCCATTTACGTGGAGGAATCGTAGGGATGAGGGTCTTATACAACAACGTTTGGATCATGGTTTAGCAACAAATGGATGGGTTAATGTGTATCCAGATGCGAAAGTTCTACATGAAGTGTTAGAAGGGTTTGATCATGCAATGCTTATTTTGGATATGAACGTTATATCATCAAAGAGACCGAGACGGTTTATTTATGATCCACGGTGGAATAAGGAGAAGGCGTGTCACGGCATTGTGGAGGAAAATTGGCAGCATAGTTTTGTGGGCTCCCATGCTTTTCAGGTGGTGGAAAAATTGAAATGGGTATGTTAAGGATTGCAGAATTGGAGGCGAACAAATTGTCGTAATTCGAAGGCTCGTCTTGAGTCTTTGAAGATTGACCTTCGAAATGCCTATAAATCTTTGACATTTGTGAATGATGAGGTGCGGCGTAAGGAGTAGGAGTTAAAGGCTTGGGTGCGAGAGGAAGAAATGTATTGGAAGCTTAAATCTCGAACCTAGTGGATCCAGGTGGGAGATAAGAATACTAAGTTTTTTCATGCTCAAATTGCGAAACGGCGACAATGTAATAAAATTATTGAATTGGAGGATGATTAAGGTGTTTGGTGTACCGATCCCAGTAGGGTAGATTGAAGGAAGATTTGTGAAAAACATGTTCATTTAAGCAACATCAATAGCATGCAATTAACAATTAAAGGCGGAATCATGCTTGTATGCACTTAAAACAAAACATTTACCCATGAAATTCAAAGCCTAGTAGATAGGTGAACCAAGACTCAACTCAAAACAAAGTGAGTTGAGAAATCAATACCTTTGTAGATTCCTCTTTGCATAAGCAAAGGCTAATCACCCAAAGAGAGGGCCTTCATTCCTTGCATCTTAGATCCATGGATTTGGATGGATGAAAAGGTCTCTCCAAGTTCCCAAAATTGAGAACCTCTAATTATTCATCACCAAGGCATAATGAAGAAGAAATGAGTGACCTTGGAGGAGTTTGATTGCTAGATGATCCCTCCAAGGTGGCCTAAATTTTAGAGAGAAAGGAGAGCTTGTGTTCTCATCCTTTCCCCAAAAATTACCATATGTAAATTTTAGGCTATAAAGTCCTTTATATAGTCCCTTCAAATAAGTGACCTAATGGACCAAAAGCCCTATTCTTCTAACATGGCAAGCCTATAGGGTTTATTGGGCTTTCAAGCCCTTTGTTTATTCAAGTTGTCATACAACTTGAGTTAATGGGCTTGACATTCAAATCCCATTGGGCCTTGCGGCCCAAAACTAACCCGAGGTTTTTAACGAACTTATTCGTTTGATTAATTAACATATTAATTAATCCTAGCCTTAGATAAATAATTAAACCATTTAATTATTCTTACTCATCTCCGTTGTTTCTTCAAACTCTACCTTACTTGGTGAACGATCCATTAGGTTCCTTTTAGCGAGGCAGTGGGCGATTAAAACTCTTTCTAATCGATTGTGAATTGAAACTTACTTTCAATTCTCCCGTTAGTGATAATACACTTTTAGGGCTTCCACAAACCATGGTTGACGCCTAGCAGCATGTCATGGTTACCCAAGCTAATCAGAAGAGGTGGAGAACCTATTCAGTTTTAGGATTACAAATGCAATACGGTCTTTCTCTAATACAATACTCTTGACCACATTGTTTGGTTTGATAGTTTATTCATGTCTACTATCCAATATGAGTCTTGTGCTTATATGATTACCTTGAATGTGATTTGGAACACATTCCTAAATCTCATTCATACTTTGGCCAAAGATTCTTAATCATATCATAGAGTATTCTCCCTCAAACAGTTTGAAGGTTAGAGATCCCTTGTTGCGCATTCACTTGCCTCCATGGCTAAGTGGCTTAACCCCAACGATGCCATGGACACCCTCCTGATGAAGTGACTTTGACATAATCAAAGATTAAGGACCTAACCACAAGACAACTGTGATGCCTCAGGTCAAAAGACTAATTTGCATTATCCCAACCATGAGTTCTCATGTGACATGAATATGAGAACTCTTCGTTGATCGTGTTCAGTGAACTCATTCTCTATTGAGCACCTACGTACTTGTCTTGATGTCACACACACCAATGACTCGAGACTAGTCACTCTCCCTGAGAGAAGACATAGCACGTACTGATCTTAACGGACTGTCAATGCCCAATTGACAATCCTATGATCAGGAACGTTTAGGATGTGTCAACGAAAGAATGGTCTCATGAATCTAACTTCTTTAGATCGCATTCTTCCAATCACATATTCCTTGGACTTATCGTTTAAGCATATAACATTTATATGAGACGGCTCAAACAATAATGTTTGCCCTTAATATTAAACTAGATTAGTTTAACATGTGAAATGTCCATAAAGTATCATCATATGATTGGTTATAGGGCACATTTCCAACATAGATATGATTGCAGTAAATTATTTCAAAGATCTTTTCCTCATGTGTACTCCGCGTAGGGTAGAAGAGATAGCGGATTGTGTTGAGGCTCAGATATCTGATGAGGATAAGAGAAGATTGTTGTAATCAATAATGGATGAGGAGGTACGGCAAACACTGTTCCGAATTCCACCTGATAAGTCTCCAGGGCCAGATGGATTTACGGGGAGTTTTTATCATGAGTATTAGGATGTGGTTGGTCGTGATATAGTGGAGATGGTGAAGGCGTTTTGGTTTTCTAGGAAACTCTTGAAAAAACTAAATCATACTCATTTGGTTCTTATTCCGAAAGTCCCTAGTCCACGGAATATGACTCAGTTAAGATCGATTTCTTCATGTAATGTGGTTTATAAGGTAATTGCAAAGATTCTCACGAACTGTATGAAGCTTGCTATGCCGCATATTATTAGTATGAATCAATTGACGTTTGTGGCTGGGAGGCAGATTCAGGATAATGTTTTGGTGGTACATGAGATACTTCATTCTCTTAATCAACAGGGCGATGAGGATGAGGTGTCGGTGGCTATGAAGTTGGATATGGCGAAGGCTTATGATTGTGTTGAATGGAGCTTTCTATTGGCAATGATGGAAGCTATGGGCTTTCTGGATGAGTTTCGAAATAGAATCGCGGAATGCATTACGACAGTTACTTATAGTGTGTTGATTAATGATGCTTCCACTGGGTTTTTTCACCCGCAAAAAAGGGCTACGACAAGGGAATCATGTGTCTCCGTTTCTATTTTTAATTTGTGCTGAAGGGTTCTTGGCTTTGCTTCGGAGGAGGGAGGAGTGGGGTGCATTGCATGGGATGTGGGTGGTGCCTGGGGGAATGTCATTATCCCATTTATTTTTTGCCAATGATGCTGTTATCTTCTTCAGAGCCGAGGAGGATGAAGCTTATGTGGTCATGGATGTTTTACAATGCTATGTGGAAGCCTTGGGGCAAGTTATAAATAGAGAGAAGAGTTCGTTGTATTTTGGGGCGCGATGTTCGCAGATTCAGAGGAAGGCAATTATTCGTTGTACAAATATCACGGGCAAAGAAGAACTTGGTAAGTACTTAGGGATAAAGGCTGATTTTGGTTCTTCTAAGAAGGCGGTGTTTGAAGGGGTTAGGGAAGTGTTGGAAGGGCGAATAAATGGGTGGGCAGAGCAGTTTCTTTCCCCTGCTGGCAAAGAAGTGCTAATTAAAGCGGTTGCTATGGCATTGCCATATTATGTTATGTCGTGTTTTAAACTTTCGGTGAGTCTGTTTAAGGAATTGGAGTCTAGTATTGCTAAGTTTTGGTGGCGGGGGAACAAGGATAAACATGGAATGCATTGGCTATCGTGGGAGAAAATGAAAAGAAGGAAAAAAATCTGGTGGGCTCGGTTTTAGGGACTTAGTTTCCTTTAATTTAGCTTATTTAGCAAAGATTGGATGGTGTATCTTGCATAATCCGAGTTCGCTTCTGGGCCAAATCCTTAAAGGAAAATATTTTCCAAACTGTTCGTTTATGGAGGCTAAGTTAGGTAGACGGTCTTCGTGGGGTTGGAAAGGTATTATACAAGGACGAAGGATTCTTGTGAGAGGCATGAGATAAAGGATTGGTGATGGGAGTTGTATTTGGATTAGACATGATCCATGGCTTCCTCGACCATATACTTTTAGAGTTCGATCAAACCATAATGACATGCCTGTAATGGTAGAGGAGCTGCTTGATCTCGAGGTGGGGGTTTGGAAGCATGATTTAGTTCAACGATGTTTTATGAAAGAAAAGGCTAATCTTATTTTGGGATTACCAGTGAGTATTGGAGGTTGTTCTGATAGAGTCATATGGCATTATTCCAAAAATGATGATTATACAGTTCGAACGGGGCATGGTGTTGCTATGGAAATGCAGGAAAATGGGGAACTTAGAAGGAAAAGGATGAGGAGTAGCAGCCGGCGAAAGGACTTTGATCGGGACTAGAGGGAAATTTGGAGTTTGGTTGTGACAAATAAAATGAAATTTTTTATTTGGTGCTGCTGCAATAACTCGTTAGCAGTTAGAGTTAACCTACTTCGACGACGAATGTGAGTACAAAGTAATTGTGTGATGTGTGGAGCTGTGGAGGAGATGGAGAACCATCTGTTTTTTGCATGTGAGTTTAGTCATGTTTTGTGGTACTGTTGTTCTCTGCAGTTAGATATCACGACTATTATTGGGCGAGATTTTCATGAGACGTGGAAGGGGTTATGTATGAGATTTCATGAAAATGATAGGAAAGATGAGTTGATGCAGGAGTGTGTATTTATTATGTGGAGAATATGGAAGAGTAGGAATGAAATGGTATTTCATGAGGTGTTAAATGATTCTATGGAGATGGTTCACTTGGTACGTAAGCAACTTTTGGAATTTAAAGTTTGCTCCTTTGCGGCAAATCAAGAATCCGGGGGAGAGAGGCCGTGGCTGGGGATATTTTTGCTGGGCAGCCAGTACGATGGAAGCGACCAGGTTTTGGAGTGATTAAGGTCAATTGCGATGGTGCATGGTGTGCTAAGACATGCAAAGGTGGATATGGTTGGGTTATGCGGGATTTTGCTGGGTTGTTACGCGTGGTTGGGGGGTGGGCGGTCTATTTTTCAACACGGCGGCTATGGCGGAAGCTATGGCGATTCGTGCGGCATTACTAGTCTGTCTAGAATTGGGTTATGAGGAAGTGGAAATTGAGTTTGATCATCAGGTGATAATTAGTATGATTAATGGGAGATATGTGGTAAATGCAACTTTGGAATGCTATATTCATGATATTGGTCAGTTGGTATCTCAATTTCGGTTTGGGTTTGTCAAGCGGAATGGAAATGCCGCTGCTCATGCTGGAGCCTCGTACGTTGCCTCACATAGAGGTGTCTTCCGTTGGGACGCTATTGGTCTGGAATTTTTATTTAATGTTCTTGAGATGTAAACATTCATATTAGAATTTAATAAAGTTTGCCTTTTGACAAAAAGAAAAAATATATATAAGTAAATATGAGTTTTTATTATTTTTTTTTTTACGGTGACCAATAATAGGCCTATAAAGTGGCTCAAATCTTCTTTGGTGTGCTGCACATTGGGCGCAGTACCAAGTAAATGTGATAGACGGCAAAGGTCATTGTTTGTTGGGCCGATGGACTGGGGAACGTACTTACATGCTGGTAAAACTCGTACTCAGTAATCTTTAAGGATTGGTAAAATTTGGAAGTACTCTCTCCTTCATGTGGTATGTTCCTAAACGTGTGATATTTTGGAGGTTGAAAGGTGACATATAATCCCACTAACGTCGATCCATCTTGCGACGTTAGCAATTTTCTTTCCATTTTATTTCCAATCTTCAAATGTGACATCATAACTAACATCGTTTAAACATCAAACCCAAAAGAGGAATATATCATGATGATCATTTTAGTGAAATATGTGAGGAAAACTAATAAAAATGGTTTGAAAATTTTAAATTTTAATCAAAAGGACAAAAATGTGTTGTAAGTGAATAGTACCATAAATGACTTTTTAGAGTAAAAATGTCATTTTTCGTTATAATGAACAGTACCGGAAGTGTTTCGTTAAAACTTCCAATTATGCGATCATAATTATTTCATCAGCTAGATGTTGTCACACGGTGTATTGCACTAACATCGGTGAAGCGCTCAACGAAAAAAACATTTAATTTAATCTTTGACTTGAATTCTCCAAAAGTTCTTATGGTTCTAATTTTATGGTAGAAATTTTTGCCGCCTTCAATTTCCTCCCAAAAAAAAAAAAAAAACTATTTAGAGATTTATGTAGTTAACTTGCCCTATTTTCAACCAAGTTCTTATAATTTGGCAATTTCACTAACGTCGTCTCGACTATTTAAAATTATTTGAATAACTTAACATGTGTAAAAATGTGTAAAGACATAATCATGCCGTCCATTGATTCACAAAAAAAAGAGATTTGTATTTAAATTGCAAACTCTAGACAACGAGGATAGAACTTATCAAAATGAAACTACGTGGACGTGACGAAAGCTAAGCAAGTTATATATCAAACGTAATGCATTGAACCATCGCTTTAGGATCTCGGCCACCCAATGTTATCCGAAGATGTTCAAATTATTGCGTGGAAATTGTATACGATCATCTCTCCTTTTTTTCCATAAGTGATATAGAAATCCTTCTAAAATGGGACGTTTGATCAAGTTGTCACACGGGAGGAGTTGAGTGATCATTTTCAAAGACAACTCACATTTATGAAATTGCCATGAGTGTGACATTTCATCATTGGATTTATTGGTGTTGGCATCTCACAACAACTATATGTATTTACATATGCATTTTATTTTGTCTCATGTGCTTTTTAGGATTATCAATGATTCATATACAGGACAAGATAAGATTTTGAAATAAGAGTTTTACATATTCACCTTTTTTATGTCAAAAATTTTACATATGATGCTTCGGAGTATAAGATATTTTGAATTTTTTAACTGTTGAATCTTAATGTATTTTTTATTAACAATCTAACGGTTAAAATGTTCACAGTATCCAATACTTAGAAACATCGAAAATTATCACATGTGTGTTATATTATTACCTAAATTTCGTTGGTGTGCAAATATTTGTGGATGAAACTTTATTCATCATTCGGAAAAGAAATTGGATCACACGTATGTTGACATTCGGTACATCAAAGGTGTTTTTATTTTTCCATAAAGTTGATGTTTCTAGTTGTAGTTGACAAATACATCCCCCTTTTAAACCAGATGGTGGCACTGATCAGCACGCACTTAGGCACATATGGAAGTGGGAGAAGAAATGAAACTGGTTGAGTCAAATTTTAAAGGTTAGTGCGAAGAGCAATTGCCCGAGTCATAGATCGATACATTTCCAAGTCAAGTTATAAATATTAAATATAAGTATTGGTACGTAGGACCTGTTTACCACTTATACACGTACGATGGATGCCCTTGACAGATTTAGGGTTTGGTCATTGGGTTGGCCTAAATGAAAACTACCAAATTTTGCACCTTTGAGGCTTGGTAAAACTTGACAAAAGCTATTAAAATTCAAAGAAAGAAAAGAACAAATTGATTACAAACTCTTATCATTATTTCATTGACCTTATATATTTGCAATGACGGTTGCATGATGTGAAAAGACTACGTTTTGTCGAACTTAATGTTGACTAAGTAAGTCACAATTTGTAATTACAAAGACCAAATTCTTAATAAACAAGAAAGCAATAGTAAATGTTAGTAAATAATAGGAAAGTGATCATATTTCTTATCCTACTAAAAAATTCTAGCACATAAAATTCCTAAAATACGTGACTTAAAATCACCAATTTACTAACTTATCCAATAATAACAACTCTTTAATTTATTGGATAACTTAAAGATTTGTTACTATATAACCTAAACCAATCAGTGAGGGAGTTTTATATTTATTTTTTAATATCAAACAAATCTTCGTTAAGAACAATTAAGACTAACATAGAAAATGCATGTCAAAACGTGTGTCAAAGAGAAACCACACAACTCTTGGAGTATGAATAAGAGACCACACATGCCACAGGAAACATCATAACTCCACAATTACAAACTCACCACAAATAAAAGACAATTTCTCAGCCACAGTGGATTCACATCCAAATTATAAGAAACATAATATAGAAAACTAGATTTGAATCCTTAAATAAGATGAAGTTTAGAAAATGTCTTATACAAGATTAAAATTTGATTTTAGTCCATAGAATCTATTTAATGACAGCATATTAAATGTCTTTTATTTATTTATAATTTTATCATGTTTGTAAATTAAATTTGTGAAAATATTATAAATTTAATTCTCATTATGGTAAGTATCTTATATAAGAAAAATTTTCGTAAAGATTTTTCGGTACATATGTTCTTTCATGTTTTATTATGTGCCACTAATTCATTACAATATATTTAGGTATGAACATTTCGTTACATTAGGTTAGTATAATATGTTTAGGTATAGACATTTCGGTACACTAGTTTATTATAATATATTTAGGTACCATGTCACATCCCGGCCCGGGGCTGATCACTTCCCGGGCCCAACTCCACCGTAGCACGATATTGTCCGCTTTGGGCTTACCATTCCCTCACGGTTTTGTTTTTGGGAACTCACAGGAGCAACTTCCCAGTGGGTCACCCATGATGGGATTGCTCTAGCCCCCTTCTCGCTTAACTTCGGAGTTCCTACGGAACCCGAAGCCAGTGAGCTCCCAAAAGGCCTCGTGCTCGGTAGGGATGGGAATATACATTTAAGGATTACTCCTCTGGGCGATGTGGGATGTCACAATCCACCCCCCTTAGGGGCCCGACGTCCTTGTCGGCACACCACGATCAGGGTTAGGCTCTAATACCAAATTGTCACATCCCGGCCCGGGGCGGATCACTTCCCGGGCCCAACTCCACCGTAGCACGATATTGTCCGCTTTGGGCTTACCATTTCCTCACGGTTTTGTTTTTGGGAACTCACACGAGCAACTTCCCAGTGGGTCACCCATGATGGGATTGCTCTAGCCCCCTTCTCGCTTAACTTCGGAGTTCCTACGGAACCCGAAGCCAGTGAGCTCCCAAAAGGCCTCGTGCTAGGTAGGGATGGGAATATACATTTAAGGATCACTCCTTTGGGCGATGTGGGATGTCACATACCAACATTTCGGTACACTAGTTTAGTATCATATATTTAGGTACGGAATTTTTTGGTACACTTATGTTTATGCATATTTTCTTATATGCCATTAATTCACTACAATATATTTAGGTGTAGACATTTTGGTACACTAATTTAGTAAAATATATTATGATACGAACGTTTAGGTACACTAATTAGAGGAAGTAAAATAAATATAATGAATTAAAATATATATAATAATAAATAATTTTAATTTTAATGTAATGACATTAAATAAGATATCTATTAAATATTAAAACA